AGGCCAGCTCTAAATCTTAAAGGCTTTGATTAGATTGACATTGTGTGTCATGAAGTTGTTGTGGACTCTTAGCAACCACGTGCATATTCCCCAGGAAGATCTGTTCCCCAGACTGGTCCTTCAATAGCTTCCAATGGTGCACCCATCAACACTGCAACCAAGCCCACCTTCCTTACAGCTAGTTGTCCTCATCTCCTTCTACCATTTCCAGCATTATATATTTCTAATGAAAACCTTAGCACTTTAGATTAGGCCCAGGAAAAAGTTAAATTCAATGCAATTGATGCACACTGTGGCTTTTAAAATACATATCAACTAAAGAATTGGCAAGAGCATTTTGTAACAGCAGAACTCTGGCTGTCCCTGTGGTCAAAGCAGGTTGTGCTTAGGAAATATAGGATAGTTAGTGATGCTTGCCAAGAGCAACCTCTGAACTAATTTTGAGATGTCAATTAGTTGTCTGTGCATGGATTGGAACTCCCTCTTTTTTTTAGAAACTGATGAAGTAGATGGACTGTCCATGGATCTGGGCTGCCAAGCTCCCAATAACTCCCAATAACCACTAGACACACAAAATGCTTTCCACTGCCACCCAGTGGTCATTTAGATTTTTGCACTGCAAACCCAATAGTTCTAGTGAGCACAAGATTCATTAATATTACTGTAATCATTCAATGTTAATAAATGTATTAGTTATTATCCGAGGTTTTGCATCCATGAGCACACCGTTCACGCAGCAAGCTTAACCCAGTTTAATTAACTTAAATCAACTGGAATACGAAAATGTGCTGAACTATAAGCTAATTACCCAACATGCTATGCCACAAGCTAGCCACTCACATTTCAGTTGAGAATGCAGTGCAGATCACTTTGTCTCGTTGCTCTTTTTGTTCTTCTCCCTTTTAAATGAATCCCAATATTTGTTTCCATTTCTGTCATTACCTTTTTCCCCTTTTCAAAAATGAAAACTGGAGGCATAGTGGCATATTTTGATTGCAAGTCATCCTTTCTTTCCATAATATTTACAATATATATACCCAATTCCGATTATTCTTTTCATGGCCAACTCATGCTTTTAGGGGCAGTGGGGGTCTTGGGGAGGCAGCTTCTGTGGGTTGAATTCATAGAATGACATCAACGACAGCTGCAACTACAAGGAAAGTTTGGAAGTCCCCCATGCTCAGAGCCATTGTAACTTCAATGTGACTTCAGTTGCTGAATAAGTGATATTGAACAGGAGCTACCTGTAGCAACATGATGATGTCATTGAAAGAAAGCATACTGCTTTTGTCAGATTTAAGGGGTTTTTTTAAGGTGGGGATGTGAATCCAAGGCCTCTGGGAAAGGAACTTGTTTTTGCTCTTCAAATTCCATCCTGCCCAGCACATCTGATTGCACACATTGGACCATGCAGCTTTAGCAAGTTAAGATGATCCGTGTTAAAAGGTATTACCCTTGAAATTACTTTCAAAAGCCATTTTTAAAAAGGCTCCTATTGAGTACTATTTTAAAAAAAAGTTAATGTGTTGAACAGTTTTGTTACGGTTATTTTAAACCTGAAAAGTGAAATAAGTAGGACTCTCCTTCTAGGCCAGTTCCAATTGTCTTGCCCATTTCCAGTAAATTACACTTTTTAATAATGCAGATGAGGATTACTAGAAACAGGAGAGGCCTTGTGGGGTCTCTTCTTAGCTGGAAATGAGACATGGTCATTAGCTCAAGATCTGAGACTAGTGCAAACTCATTACTCCATGAGGGAATCCTTGGTGCTCCCTGAGCTTGGTTGATTTCTTGTGGACGGTTCATTACCCAAACTAGGTAACATCATCAGTGCTAATCCATTAGTCATTATTCCATAGGATAAAAATGCTTCTAATTAATTTGGTGAAAGCTTTTGGTTGTTAGTCCTCTATCCCTTGAAAAATCTAAGTTGTTTAGGAAAGCAAGCTTTGCTACAGTCCAAAGATGGAAGAGGCAAGCAATCCACTTGTGATAATCACTATTCCAGCAAACAAGCATTTTTAATATAATTAACGAAAGGATGTCTTGGGTACAAGGAAAAAAAAAACTTATCTGCCCTACAATAGCTTTGTGAAAGATAAACAATTAAATTGCAAATAAAATTTTGTGAACTAGAGTTACTGCAGTTAATTTACCTCTCAGATAAATGTAAGTGCAAAAGAGGAAGATACACAGAAAAACATTCATTTCTTTGTAAACAAATCCAAGTATTTTTCTAGTAGTGTGAGATTTTGCGCCATTTTAGCATTTCTACAGCAATCAAAACTGTGAAAGCAAATGTTAATCTTTGTGTGCTCAACCATCCCTAATCTAGTAGAACAGTTAGGCGGGTAACCTTAAAAACAGCAGTAGTAGTTTAGCCATAACTAATGCAGGGTATTTAAGAATTTGCTATTCAACACCAGGAGGATAGAACAACCTGAGATCCTCTAAATGTTACATCAGAACACATCTTCTTGAATTCTGATTTTTAGGAACATTAATTAGTAAGGGGGGAAAGCTATCTTTCTGACCTTTGTAATTCTTTCCCTGTTATTTGTCAAAATTCATTAATTACTTCAGATTTCAGAGGTATAATTCTATTGAAAGACAGGCTTTCTATTCATATCAAAGAAGAATTGGTGCTGCTGAACATCTGAATCAAAGTTTGTTTCCATAACATAGACCATTAAAGTGCCCAATGAGCTTCCTACTGTTATTTTTTGGCCTTGGAATAAGACCTATAATCAAACTGCTATATCACAGGAGATTCTTATCTCTAGGATTTCCTGTGCTTTTCTAAAATACTAGAAGACAGTTTTGCAAAAAATAAAATAAAATAAAATTACAGTATGTGGGTAAGAATGTAATGTTCAGGTAACTGTTCTTGCTAACTTAGCAGTTCCATTTATAATAGGAAAAGGGAAACTCACTTTGTAAAACTGGCATTAAGTAGACTTATGATGTTAGCATGAGAATGAAGAAAAGCGTGTATCAGAATCCCATTATTATGCAGAGTTTATATCTTACCATGGGAAGAGAAAAATAGCTAGGCCCCAAATTACTGAATTGTCATAGAGATAGGGCAGTTTTGAATAACTAGTTCATAAAGTACAGAGCCAATTGTAGTATTTAGATTCATACAACATATATAGCTCGTTTTATACATGCATGGTTCTAAAACATTGAAAAATAAGATTATAAAGTAGTGTGACAAAGTTGTTATATTTAGTAGTAGTTGCATCAGTGAAATGTGAATGGAATTAGTAACCATGGATAATTTCAATACTGAGGGGCTAGAGTATATATTAAATGCAAAGAAATGTAATCACAAAACCCATAGTGAAGATAAAATATCAACCGTTTCTATATAGGGACTACAAGGAGTTCTTGCTGGATTGCATTCTGACACACATATACCGTATTTTTCGGAGTATAAGACGCACCTTTTTACCCCCTAAAATGGGGTGAAAATTTAGGTGTGTCTTATACACCGAATGCAGCCCTGCCCACCCACTGGCCCCCACCCTTTGGCCTGTGCCTCGCAGCAGTTACCTTCTTGCAAGCAAACAGCAAGAAAATACAGCCCCTTTCAGTTTCAGCATAGGTTAATTAGCACAAGTTGATTAGATCGGCCTCCCGACTCTCAGCTGATTTGCTATCAGCTGTTTTGAGCAGGGTTCTCCTGCTTGCTGCAAAAAGTGCTGGAGCAGATTTTTTTTCCCTAGCTATGCTGAAAAAACGAAACAAAGTAAAGCAGGGTCTTTGCTGCAATGTGACAAAACGAGGCAGAGAGAGATTTCTTTTTCTTTTTTCTCACCAAAAAAGGTAGGTGCAAACAATGGGAAATTTAGGGCAAAAGGGAAGAGTTCAAGATTTTAAAACACAAAAGAAAAAAAGCTCTATTTAACTAGGGAATTGTAATAATTGAGATACTATTAATTGTATATTGTGTTGAAAGCAGAAATGGTTAAGTTGTGGTTTGGAGGAATATAGGGGGGAAATTATTTGGTTTATTATTATTGGTAAATATAATTGATTTGTAAGAAATTGGATTGCATGGAAATAATTGGAATATTCATGTTCATATTGAGATACTATTAATTGTATATTGTGCTGAAAGCAGAAATGGTTAAGTTGTGGTTTGGAGGAATATATGAGGGAAATTATTTGGTTTATTATTACTGGTAAATATAATTAATTGATTTGTAAGAAATTGGATTGCATGGAATCCAATATTAGAATATTCATGTTCATATTGATTAATATACAAAAAAGATAGTTATATAACTAATTGATTTATATTAAAATGTTGATTTTGTATTAAACAACTGTAATATTACATAATTAACCAATGTGAGGATGGATATAAAAATAGATGACAATGGGAAGGGGTATAATATAGAATAAAAAGGAAAAATTGAATTTGATTAAGATTAGAGATGAAGATGAAGGGTAATATTGGTTTTTTTAAAAAAAATAGATGAGGAATAAATATGGCAAAAAGGAAATATAGAAATTGTAAATTTAATTGAAATGACTAAACAGTGTTTAAATTTGTGAACCAGCCAAACACTCTGTTCAAAGAAAATACATTGTATGTTTGTATGTGTGTTTGTCTAAAAAATAAAATAAAAAAAGTAAAAAAAAAACAACCAAAAAAGGTAGGTGCATCTTATACTCCGGTGCATCTTATATCCCGAAAAATACGGCACTTCAAAATCCTACTGCGCTTAATGAAATGGGTTCTTAAGCAACTGTAAGTAGGAATGTACAACTCATTCTGGATTTGTTTTGCAAAGATGATGCTTAAGGCAGATGTTCCATACTTTTAAAGCGCAGCTCATGAAAAGATGCTGATTTGTGTATATTGTAGTTTTCAGCTTAATGCAACTTTAAAGTTCAGTATGCAGTACTTTCTATATAAATACAACAAAGGCATGACAACTGAGGATCTGGACATCTACTCAGTCCAGTTCACAACCAAAAAGGAATTGCTGTTCTATTATTTTTATAGACTTTATTGAAAAACAATTAGGTCACAATAATATATGCAGACCATTCTGCCAAATATACAAGCTACAAATGCTTGTTTGACAGTCAAAGTTCAGTTTTAGTAGCATACTTGAGAAATGAATAGAAATCCATATAAAACAATAATCAGTTTCCATAGGAACACACAGATAAATGTGACCTCCCGAGCTTCTACTTACCTATCTTGTTACATTTACACATACCCTAAGCTTTCCAAACATTTAAAAATTCTAGGAAGAATTAAGTTAATGGTCCCCAATGTCCTATAAAAATTCATCCCTAAACTTGCACATTAGCTAACAGTATCTATACGTTAATGCTTGCTGAAGTACAAGCTGCCGGATGGTGTTCAATTCCACTTTCCCAGGCACAAGAGAGTGGCAAAGGGACATCCTGGTCTTCTACTTCCGTTTGAAAACCTTGCTTCTTTATCCGCTCCATCAACTGCCTAACATGGGGGGAGGGGAGGGAGAAAAACAAGAGTTCAGTACAAATCTAAAAAGCAGCATCAAATAAGATACAACAATTTTCTAAATATACAAATTAACCCTCAGCAGCTATTTAAATAATGAAAAGATGGTGCAGATGCCTATTTTGGTAACATCATTCCACTTGCTCTACAAAAATTGAACAGTGAATCTTGAGTTAAGTATTGCTCTGCTCATGTCACATTCAGTTCTTCCAATTAGATTCTCTTCCGTTGCAAGGAGCCTTATTTTGCAAATCCTTGGTTTTTTAAAATTGTGTGCGTGTTGTACAATTTTGCTACACAGAGGGAGGAAGGCTGGTGAGAAATCGGTTCTAAACAAAGGCGCTATACCTTATAGAAAACCCAAACTATCTGTCCTCTTCAGCATTTTTTCAAATCAAGTTTATTCACAGCTCATTCAAATAAAATTAAAGAGACTCTCATTGCACTTTCTAGAGAATGAAAAGCATAAATGGCAAGAGTACTAACCACGCTGTCCTTGGCATTACATAGTGTATTGTTGGCCTCTGAAATCCATTGAAGGTAGAAGCGGCTGCCACAGTATAGGCTCCCATGTTTTCAAACAACATCCAATCCCCAACCTGAAGTTCTGGTAGGCCACAACGCTCAACAATACGATCAAGGCCATCACAAGTTGGTCCCCATATACTACAAGAGTAGACTCTCTCATCCAACTTAGATCTCTGAAAAAATTTAAACACAAAATTTGCATCAATGCAAGATAACGAGTACTTTGATATACAGAGGTACAGAAATCAAGGAATAATCAAATCAAATTTATATTCAAATAATGTAGTATCTTTGCAGACTTGCTCAGAAAACATTTTCTAGTCCTCATGGCAGATAACAAGATGGATTATATTAACTTCAATAATCAAGAAATGCCTAAGAACAGCCAGGCTTTCTCCTCAAGCTGTCTTCTAAATGGTAAGAAGATTTCAAAGTAAGATTAAGGAAATCCAGGTAGTCAGAACCCAACTTTTTTAGGTTATAAGCCAGTTGGGGGAAGTGCATAGACCATGTGGTGTGCAAAACTCTGGGTATATTGTAAAGGCTTCTCCATCCTACAGCTGAATAATTTGTTGCCTTTTTCCTGCTATTTCTCTTGTCTTTTCTATACTAGGAAATATTTTAGGAATCAAAGAACTACAACACAACCTTGGCTAACTATCCGATTATTAATTTAGACATGAACCTCTTTGCTAACTTTAGTTGGGAATGTCATGTTAATTACTGATGTGTATCTCTAATTAGTTGTCTTGGACTGTGTTAATGGAACAATTGGTTCAGATTTTGATTCAATAAACATTTCAGATTGTTCTACAGCATTGTTGATTCTGTGATAATTATACTGAGGGATAAAAACCCTGAAGGAAAAAAGAGAGTCATCTATGAGTTCCCCCCTTAAACATAAAAAACCCAGCTTAGTATGGATTTTGAACTTTGCTTTTTTTCCACTGCATCATGCTAAAATAAGAAATGTATATAGCAATTACAGTTTTCCTAAGTGATTTTTTATTTGCTTTTCCTGGAAAAGGGATACATTACTGAACAGAATCTGGAGTTACTAAACTGTCTGTCAACACCTATTACCTAATATATTCTTAATATATTCCTATAGACATGTTATATAAATATGTATTATGTACCTTTTGCAAAACTGGCTTAACATGTGCATGATCATACAAGATGCAATTAAATGATCCATATACTCCATCATTAACATAATACATAAGAGTTTTGTCGTTCAGTTCTTCTTCATCTATTTGGAGAAAAAAAATGAACACTTTTATTACAGATAGAAGTTCCAATTCTGAACATTCTGCCATATTTTCATTTATAAAAAAAAATCAAGGATAGTACTAAATCAATATTGTTAGCCTTTGCATACAGAAAGTCCTTGAATTATGACCACAATGAGCTAACAATTTATGTTGCTAAGCAAGACAGTTAAGTGAATTTTGACTTTTTTTAAAAAAAATTTGATTTATATGCCGCTCTTCTCCGGAGACTCAGGGCAGCTTACAATGCATTAAGCAATAGCCTTCATACTTTTGTATATTTATACAAAGTCAGTTTATTGCCCCCATAATCTGGGTCCTCATTTTACCTACCTTAGAAGGGATGGAAGGCGGAGTCAACCTTGAGCCTGGTGAGATTTTACAACCTTTCTTGCCACAGTTGTTTAAGTTAGTATCAATGGTTGTTAAGTGAATCTGGCTTCCCCTTGATTTTGCTTGTCAGAAGGTCACAAATGGCAATCACATGATTCTGGGACAATGTGACCATCAAAAATCTTAACTACTTGCCAAACAACTGAATTTTGATCACAAAACTATAGGGATGTTGCAAGGATCATGTGTGGAAAATGGGCATAAATCACTTTTTTCAGTGCCATTGTAACTTTGAACAGTCACTGAATGAACTGTAGTAAGTCAAGGACTACCTGTACTTTTTCACAAATGCAAAGTTTTACATAGAAAAAAAGATGGTAGGCCTCCACTAAGGACAATTGCAAAATGCATTATTAAAAATTGGGGAGGTAGGTCAGAAAATAAATTAGGCCAACCCATCCCTCTACTTATCTTAAATACTAAAAAAGGTAGATAGAAAAAAGTATCTGGATAGGTCATTTCTTGATTCACTCTGCAGGGTTTTTTTAAGTAGAAACAAGAGGTCTTTACAAGGAAAGGAAGATAGCAATACCAATACCAATTTTTACAGAGCTTTTTCAAGTGTGACACTTAACATATTCTTGTTCATGTGAATTCCACACCAAACATAATTCAACTGCTTTCATATTACAACCCGAAAATCGTAAAACAAATTGTGCTGGAATGACCTGCTAGGCTTTAAATGACACTTGTGCCCTACTGTCTACCTGATTCCAATGCAGCAGAGGGAACTGAGAGAATACTGATACCAGATCTTTAATATAACTGATGGCTCTTCTCTCCTCCTGGCTCCCCAGGTTCAGTGAAGTTTTTATTTCTTTCTGCCTTCTTGGTTATAAAATTTCTAATTGTAGAATTAGATTTTTTTATAAACACTTTATTAAACTTTTATTACATTAAAAACATAAAAAATTATTTCACTCAACAACAGCTAATAGTGGTGTTTTTCTTGTGAATTAGAAATTTTAATTGTAATTTATTCTTCCAGTTATAAAAAATTCTAGGTTATTATTACATACCATCAGATCCAGTCTGTTCCTTTATTACAATCTTCTTCGCTATTATGTTAACAGCTAGTGTAAAAGCTGATGCAACATAGTATCTGCCGGGTTCAGCAATAATTTTCACCCCAGAATCAGGAGGAAAATACTTGTCCAAAGCTGGATTAATTACATTAGTTATCTGAAAAGTAAATCAGAGAAACAGAAATTATACATAATCAGTTCTTACATAAAAATACATTTTCCTGTAACTTTACATTTTAGCTAGCTTTTTCCACTAAACTTTTATTCCAAAAGATTGGAAAAATAAGGATCAAATGACAGGATATATGGAAAAGAGATCTAAAACTTGTATATGTTAAAAGAAATTTTATGTTCTTTTTTTTAGGGAAAATATAGACTAGGAAAATACTTGTGTGTGTTTAGAACAGAGGTTGAAACAATAATAATTCACATATCCATTTGTTCATGACTTTGTTTTAAAGCTTTCTCATAGTCAGTAAATTTCCAGATCCAGTTAGGTTTCTAATATGTTTTTGTGCATCTGTTTCAGCTATACATGTTCTTTCATGTTAGATTGCTCAGATAAACTTAAATGGGAAAATAGGTTTTATCATCCTAATTCCTCAGGTACATTAAGTCAGATTTCCACTCTAGTACATTAAAATATCTGTTTTAATATATCCAATTCAAGGCTTCCAGTCTGATATTTAATAACAATGTTATTGAAATACATGCAGACGATTCCTGAGAACACTTTTTCATAACTAGCTACACCACTGCTTTAAAAACACAGGAATTCAAGATCATACAATAAAAATCCAGTGTTTGATTTTATGATACAACTTGTTTTAGTTTTAAAGCTATATTGTTAACACTATGCTTGAAAAGAGAAGCAGAATCAAGAAAGGCTATGTAACTGTATAAATCAAAAGTAATAAGTATGTGTGGATGTTATGTGGTTTAAAATAGTCATACCTCTTCAAACTTAAGCTTTACATCTTCAGAGCCAGGAAAGCCACCGCCAATATCAAGCAAATACATGTTGAAACCAAGTTCAGCCTAGAATACAGAAGTATTGATTTAATAACATTCCTATGATATCAATCAATTTTATTACCCTTGTGTACTAATGGTTCCATAAATACCAGAAAAACTTGTTAACTAAGCAATAAAAAAATAGTTGCTTTAAACAAGAAATTTAGCTGATTCAAGTTATCAATCTAAGAGTACTAATTATATTTTAATATTTTGTATTCAACAATTGAGGTAGAAACTTCCCAAGAATTTTGTTAATGCTCAAATAAATTAGACATATACTTAGACTATACTTACCCCCATATCAAAAACGCATCGTGCATCAGAAATAGCTTGCACAAAAGTCTCAGGATCTGTACAGCCACTTCCAACGTGGAAACTTGGGGGAAAAATTGGGTAGAGTTTAGCCATTTTAACCGAGAGAAATAGGTGCATTTTTCCAACATTTTTTTACTCACCTGACTCCAATAATATTTAAGTCAAGTTCTTTTGCTCGCTCAAGCAACAATCTGCTGTTTTTTAGTGTGGCTCCAAATTTAACACTCAGGCGACAAATTGCTTTTGAGTCATCTGTTGCAATTCGCAGGACCAGCCTAAATAACAGTTTAAAATTAATAAAGAAAAAAAAACTTTGAAAAAGTAAGCATAGGCATTTGTATGTTTAAGAAAAGTTTTTAAAGAAAAAAAATCTCTCAAGTATTTTAATAGTAAAGCCTTTTTGCCAAACAAGTTGCACCATGTCTTTTTTTCTCTAAAAACATTGTGTAAAACATTCCCCTCCAATTAATAAACTAGTAATTTTTTATCTCAGCTCTTTAATTACCTATAAAGACCAACAAAGAGAAAACTATTTGCTTGCAAAGATATCTTACTTTGCTTTGGGGTGGGCTCTTGCAATTTTCATCAGCTCAACTTCACTATCAAAAGTCATCATCTGTACACCATTATTTGCAGCATGCTTAATTTGAGAGACTTGCTTGCATGGATTTGCATATATTATACGCTCTGGGGGCACTCCAGCACTTTGGACCAGTTGTATTTCAGTCTAGAAGAGAATAATTAATTTCACACGCACATACATAAAACCTCACATTTAATAAATCAAAGAATAATCATTTAAAGTTAGCCACTTACTTTACTGGCACAATCGAATCCTGCCCCAAGACTAGCCAGAGTCTTCACTATAGCAATACTATCATTACATTTGACAGCATAGAATGGAAAAACTCTAGGGAGGGCTTTGTACCACCGCAAGTGTTTTTTTAGCACATCTCCAAGGTCAGCAATATAAAAAGCATCTTTATCATCCTAAGGACAAAGACAAGATTCATAATCGAACATACAACTGTTGAACATTATGAATAGTTCCAGGCATTTTTTAAAAATGTTAATTAACTAATATACTCACTGAAGAAGAAACTTCATTTATTTTTTGGTCTACAATATCCTTTGCAGTAAAGCCTTCATCAAGGAAACTAAAATTGAATTCTTCACCACTAAAGCTGTTCATCTTGTTCAATATTCAATTACACCACCAAACTGATTTTTAATGGAACAAACTGTAAACAAAAAAGATTTTTTTTAATTCATTATCTGAGTCAGCCAAGTGAAATAAGAACTACAGGAATTTGATGATACGTTCTTTATGGTTCAACTAAGATGCAGTTTGACTCAACACCAGAATAATTAGATGTAAAAATAGAATGCCAGTCACAGTCTGTTTGTGCTCATTACTCTGAAACACCATGTATATAGTCTGATAAGCACTAAGAGGAAAGCCTTGGTACAATTACTTCTAGTAACGTATCAAATTATCAACACACAGTAGTCAAAAACAAAAACATAGCATGGAATTAAAGTGACCAGTTCTGTGAACTAGCTGCATCATGAAATTCTGAAACTGTTACAAATGACTAGTTTTGCCATCTTCAAGACCCTAAAAGGATTGAAGAAGTTCAAATATCAGTGGCATATAAACCACAATCACAAATTACAAAACAGTACTGAACTTTCTATATATAATTTAAAAAATTAAGGTAACTGAGTGAATGTGGATGTATTTATATCAGTGGTAGCCATAGATGGAATGTGATAGTCTACAACAGTGTTGGTGAACCTTTTCAGCAACTAAAATTTTTAAATGCATAGTAATTTTCCAACCCTTCACTTACATCTTGAAATTGTTTATTGGCAATCAACATTAAAAAAGTTGTTTATAAAAAGCAATTCCCACTCTACTGGCTGTAATTAATGTTTTATTACAATATTTCTTCATTAAGTAATAACGCCTTTCCCTTAAATTGTACAAGGCTGCAATCCTAGACAATCCTGGGAGCAAGTGCATCATTATTGCATCAAAATCCATACGGTAACCGTAAAATTTCCACAACCAAATCTAGAATATACTGAGTGTATTATGGTTTATCATAGAACCTCAAGAACAGCAAATTCAGCTGAGCTTTCACCACAGTACATTAACATGAATGTGTAAAAACATATGCTACTCCAATTATTAATAGAAGCACTATCTTTTTTTGTAAGCACATTCCTCTTGTAATCCTAAGGTACATTTATGTCCCAGAATTTATTTAGGATGCCAAATAGTATCTTATATTTATGCTATTTTTTTCTTTGTGACACTGTTCTGCAAGTGCAGGATTGACTTTTTTCACATCAACTGAGCGTTAGTCCATTAGTTGCAACAGGAACTGACCAACTTGTTGCCTGAGCCTCATGTAGTGGGCTGAAACTAGCCCAAAGTTACCCAATTGGGTTTCATATCTCAGGTGGAACTAGAACTCACATCTCTGGTGATGGGGCCCAAAGTCACCCAGCTGGATCTCCTGGTTTCTAACCCCAGCAACCTTAACCACTAGATCAAACTTGCTCTCATTGATAACTTGTTTGCTCAAAAGCTCTAAATAAAAGCAGTTCCTGTTTCCTAAACTAACATATCTGTTATTCAGATATGTCATTATTTTCCAGGAGTAAATATCTTGATAAAACTGTATCGGGATTAACCAACCTCATTGGCATTAGAAACACCCCATCCATTATCTCTTTCCCATCAAGTAACTCAGCCTTGCAGTAAAAACTAGGCCAGTCCTCTCTGCCTTAGGGCCATGTCTGCCTATCACCAACCATATGGCAGTTTCAGAGCCTTTAGGATGACCAAGCAATCCCCACTCCAATCCCAGCTTCTCATTACGTGGCACGGGACAACTCCAAAGGGGAAAGGGGAGGATGGATAAGGAGGTCAAGAAAACGGTGCTACGGCTGCAATACGCATTTTTAAGGACTGTAAAAAATATATATATCTAAAAATCGACAGACAAGTCTGGCAGCCCGACAACATCCGATTCTAAGCGGCTTCTTGTATTTGGAAAGCAGAAACCAACGGAATGCAACATCAGTCATTTTCGTTGTTTGTTTTTTCAAGATACCCCCTTTACCAACAAGCTACCAGCTGTTTTAAGTGACGTTTCTCCACATTTTCTCCCCACCATTTCAATACTCCCCAGCGCTTTATGTAGGAATCGCTGCAGCGAAACCGCAAAGGAGCCACCGCCGCAGTGCTTTTCATTCTGCGTTTCTCTTTTTTTCCCGCCCCTCCAAATCTAGCGAGGAAACGAGGCTCCGGGAGGGGGGGGGTCCTGAGCCAACCCGTCCCTGCCCCCACCCCACCCCGAGAATCAGGCACATTTCCCCCGAAACCTTCTCCCGCTCCCACCGACCCACCCTTCCCCGGTTGGCCGAACCGCCAAACCACCGCAATGGGGAAAGGTGACGTGTTAAAAAAAAAAAATCAGTCCAATTAAAAAGCTAGCCAAAAAAACCCCAACAACAGGGCTTTGGAACCGATCCTGGTTATTATCACTATTTTACCGTTAGACCCTGAAATGAATCTGCCCGGGGAAGAAATTTAGGGGGCAGGAATCGAGGATTAATTCAAGGACACCATAGCGGCAAAGCGCCCCCCGCCCCACTTCCCCAGTCCTCCCGCGTGTAAATTATTTCCCCTTCGGATCCTTTTCGTGGCCTTCAGCCTCTCCACCCCCCCACCAACCCCCTTCAACCGTCCGCCAGCCCGGCCCTCTGCTTTTGCCTTCCGCCACCCCATCCACGTGGCCGCCTCTCCGCCCGGCCTCTTCCCCCCTCACCTCAGGCGACAGCGGTCCCCTTTCGGTGGCAGCGGCAGCAGCCTCTTTTACCCTGCGCGGCAGCTGGTGGAGGCCAAGCCGGTGACTGTTACCCCCTTCAACGCCTCACGGGCTGGGCCCTGGATACAACCGGCGAGAAAGAGCCCGGCGCCGTTATTGCTGCTGCTGCTGCCGCGCAGGTGAGCGGCTGCTGCCGCCGAGAACCTCCCAACGTCTACGCCTGACAAAGCCCGACAAGCGCCGCAGAGCCTCTATTTATAGGCCCGGCCTGGTTACTATGACAACGCACCAGCTCAAACCAGCCCCGATCGGCTGCGACCGGGCCGCCGCGTTCGCCAACTGCTATTATGACGTCGGGGCAGAGGTGGCGAATGTGGCGTGTGGCCGAAAGGAGATTCTCTCACTCACCACCCCCTCCTTTTACACACATACACACACACAAACACACACACATTTTTTTTTTTAACCCCACAGACAGCGCAAAGAAAGGGCGCTTCCGGCCCAGATTAAAATTGCCACACGTGCGGCGTTAGTGACAGCAGGTTGTACCACGTAAAGCAAGTTTAACAAAACCCGGGAAAGGCAGTTCGAGCTTCTGGTTCTTTCTTTTTTACTGAAACAATAGTACCCATCTTTTCTTCAGCTGATTATTATTTATTCCGATTGATATATTCGTGACTCTGGGCCGCTTCCAATTGAAGCATAAACCCCACCCATCCCCTCAAACAGCCATATCAACCAACGCAACAAGCTAAAATGCCGGCCGGCTTGACACATTTTGGTCAAACCTATTTTTGTTCAGCCTAAATTTCGCAACAAGTCCGTCCTCGTGGACGGAGAGTAGTTACAGGGGTTTAAATGAATTCTTATAAAAGACGATGTTTCAGGCCTTCAAATATAAAGCTTATAGGCCTCTATCTTTTGAGAGAAAATAGGGAAAACAGGATTTAAATCCATCTCCGTTTCCCCCCCCCCCTTTCAATTCATATTTCCCTGCCTTTGCCTCCACGTGGATGTTTCTGTCATTTCCAGTCGAGAATCGGAAGTCTGAGCCAAAAAAATCCTCAAGGCTGGATCTTTTGAAATCGATTTCCTCTTTCTCCTCTCCTTGAATCTTTCAGCCACGCATTTTGCAAGTCAGTGATTATTACTACCCATTTAATTTCAAATTTTAAAAAGGCAGAGGAGGAAGTAAACATGCAAATTAATACTCAAATGTCCCAAGTTCAGACAAGCAGGGCAGTTCTGAGTTTAAAATCAAGGCCCATGGGCTAGAGCAGATACCTAAATTTATGGACCTTCATCAATCTTGAACTCTGTGCTGGTCTTGGACCAAATAAAGGTTTGATTGATACTTGTTGAATTCTCTTTTGACAGGTACTACTACACCTGTCCGAATCATTACTTTGGACTAAGCTTTCTTAAAGAAAAAGACTGAAGCACACAGGAAGACATCTTTAAGTACACAGTTCCCTTGTATTGCTGGTTGGGTAGTTTATTTTTGCTTACTAGGATTTATATGGTGTCTAATACATTACATTACAGTATGTAATACAGGAATAACAATAAATGTTTGATCGGGAGAAAATATTTTATGGACAACTAAACTTTGATCACAAGCTTTCAAATATGGAATGTTGCCCAGTGTAAACAAGCACTGGAAACAGCTCTCTAACCTGTTTGATTTTAATGGCCTTAAAATACCAATAAAAAGGACCAGAATCTGGTTTTGATGCTGGATTGCCTGCAATGATTTTCTTTAGGCTGATCAGCTTCCTGGAAATTATTGCAATAGAATTTCTTAAACTTCACCAAAGCGAATGGTTCATGTCATTGTCAGCTATGAAAAAACTCAAGACTGGAAGTACAGATCCTCCTAATCTTTGCAGGAAAGCCATCTGGCGCATATCACCTGGCTTTCTAATTATAGAATCCAAGCAGACCTAAAATCACGTGTCTATGATTTTGTCTATTTTCTTGTGTGCTAATAGTTTTTCTGTTGATAAACTGGGATCAAATCAAATATTTGGCAGATTGAGATAAACCTTCATCAGCCACACAGATTTTTTTTCTAGATCTAGGTTTTTGGGTTATGGCAGCAGACCACATGACAGTGGATCTGTGGCTTTCATAAATCTAGATAGAAGTTACTGATACGTATTTCTTTATAAAATACTGAAGACATATATTGTGCATTTGATTTTATGCCATAGATTTTCTAATAGTATTATTGATACTGACAGATAATATATACATAGGCATATTTATGGGATCCACGACGATGATCTAGTATTTAGGAAAGAACAGTTTCATGAAACTAAATTTCCATGATTGTTGCAGTGCCATCGATGAGCATCTAGTTGGCATCCATGTATAGAATCATGGGGACCCATGAATATCAATGTCTACCATTTTTTTTTTTTATTTTGCAATACACTGGTACAATAAAGTTTAATGCTTATAATTTCAGTACAATCAAGCAGGGGTGTTAAACTCGCGGCCCATGGGCCGGATGTGTCACGTCCTAACCCTGCCCCTGCCCAGTTTAGTGAAGGGGGAAAAAGTCCCGATATGTCATGTGACACTGCCATGACGACGTGAGTTTGACACCCCTGATCTATGGGAATAAGAGCCATCTTTAGAGCTTTGATTTTGAAAGTCTTAAACTGAGAATCTATATCATAGAGATATAGAGACCAGGTGGCATGCACAGATCGTCAATTATGACATCCGGGCGGGTGGGCGGAACCTCCAGCCACTTTTACTACCGGTTCTAAAGAACCAGACAGAACCGGGAGCAACCCACCACTGGTTTAAAGTCAAGTAGGCTAGAAGCAGTATAGATCTCTCCCCAGTCTCATGAATTGCTTCTATTTCTCTCAAGGCAGCATAAGAAAAGATCTGGACCAGGTCATGCTTATGAAGAATCCCACTTGCAACTATTGCTGTACAAAACTGGATCTCAAACAGGGCATCCTTCTCACTATTTATCCCTTGGATTCTTTTCTTTTGATCTGAACATTCCCTGCTGTCCCCCATTGTGTCAGTGCTTCAAGATACTGTAGCCAAGACAGGAAACTCAAACCATAAGCACTAATACAATCTTTAGGTGACAGCATCTTGCAAGAAAAAGCATTTCCTCCCTCCCTCTGCCTTTACGTTTCAGAGAACTAGGGAGGGCCTCTTCTGTGATGCTTTCTCTACTCCTGTTCCTTCTGTGGGCTGAGATATCTCTTATCTGACCATTGCCCTGGTTGCAGCTCTTCCTCCTGCCTCTCAAGGTTCTTCTCATAGCCCATTACAATGTGATTGAAATACACCAGAGATATTCCTGCAGTTAGAAGGACCAGGCCACTTTCTCTGCTCCCTTGAATCCAAACACCCAGCTAGTTGTATTTATTTTGCATATATATTAGGTCATCCATCCTAATCAGATAATTCTGGGAAGCTAACAAAAGATAAACATAGAAATTTATTATTATTTAGCGTATGATGAGAACCTGATAGAAGAGAAGAAAACATATATACACAGTCCACAAAATTCTAAGTAAAACTTCTATGGGGGTATGACAGTGGCCTCATAATTGGCTATCCAATTCAGCTATCCTCTGGCATTACTGTATGCAGATCTTCTAGGAAACCAGAGAACGCATAATGTGGGAAATCTTACACAATGTGTTTAATACTTTGCATATCAGTCTCACAATCGCAGCATGGGGAATCTTTGTGTCCTCTGGTACAGGGCAGAGCTACTTCTTCTAGTATCATACTTAATTCTGTTCAATTTCCACCAGACGAAGCAAGGTAGGTCACACCAGGTGATTTAATAGAGGGATGACTAATGGCCAGGCCACAAGAAAGTAACTTGGACCATTCCTCTCTCCAGGCATTCTCAGGATTAAACTGGGTAGACGTTAAATGAATAGCTGTTTTCCAATCTGGTTTACGGGATTTCAATCTTGTGATGGACTGCATTGTCCTGGTGAATAGGGAGGGCCTTGTTGCTCAGCATCCTTGACCCTATCCAAATGAGAGCTTGTTGTAGGGTGATATGATATTGCTAAATACTGGAAACCAGTGCATAGGAATGGGATGCAATGTGCCAGAGATGATACGCATTGTCTGCCGGAGTTGGACATCAACCATTTGGGTGTTGGCATTGCCAGCCACCCACTGGCACAATGTTCAGCTGTGGAATAAACTAAAATCAAGGCTGTTGTTCGTAGGGTGTTAGCATCAGCACCCCAGGATGTTCCAGCCAGTCTGTTCAGTAAATTGTTGCAGCTTTTCAATTTTTCAGGAGTTGCCGGAAGTTTAGTGATCTGTCCAGTGTTATTCCCAGGTACTTTAGAGAGTTGTTACATTGTAATATACAGTTCCAGAACTTCACTGAAGGATGGTAATTTACGTACCTATTGCTGAGGTGGAATGTGGCTACTTCTGTTTTTGTTAGGCTTGGTTGGAGGCGCCAGTTTATGAAATAGTCATGCATCTTCTAGAGATCTTGAGAGAACATACTTTCTGCATCACTGAAGTTGGTCCTTTGGACTGTGAGATTGATATCATTCGCATAAAGAAAGTTTCGAGAAAGTTTCAGGCAGGTCATGGATGTACAAGTTAAAAAGAGCAGGGGTTAGCACTGATTCTTGTGGTAGCCCATTATTCAACTTATGATACTGTATCTGCTTCTACTGAATTTTGTGAAAACCTGAAATAATAGATTTTTTAAAAAAATAGAAACATTTAAACAGTAAAAATAAGCCAGTAAAAGATGCCAAGTAAAAATAACTTCTCACTAAAACCGTCAACACAGAAAATAATACTAGCTTCTGCCCTTCGAGTCTAAGGGAAGAGCTAGACTGGTAAGGCCTTCCAGAAAGCCAACAAAATGGAGTCACATGGACTTCAGGGGGGAGGCTCTTCCAGAGGTCAGGTGGCAGAGAAGAGATATCTCCTAGGTCCCACAAGATGACATTATTTTACAGAATGAATTTTCCCCCATGTCCACACTGTTATGAGAAAAGCAGAAATCACACACAAAAAAAGACTGCCTCTTTAAGTATTCTGGGCCCATGCCACGAAGGACTTCGAAGACGATAACCAGGACCTTGAATTGGACCTAGAAACTGTCTGGGATCTATAGTGTAGCTCATATAACATCCCAGCTGCAGCTTTCAAATCCTTTTCAAGGACAACTCCATGCAAATAAAGCACCTTGAAATAGTCAAACAGGGAAGTGACTAAGGCATGAGTAATTAAGAACAGTCTCTCAACTCAGGAACAAGTGCAACTGGCTCACAGATGGATTTATGCTACCTGTTCCTCAAATAGTCTAGGATGACCCCAGATTTTGTACCAACTCATCTGAGGGAGTCTAAGGGAGTGGTATCCTATCCAAAGTTAGCAATGTAAGGTCTCCAGATTTGTGGGGCCTAAAAAACCCATAGCCCCTTAGCCTTGCTTGGCTGAGACAGAGCCTGTTCTTCCTCATCCAGATTCTCACAGCCTCCTGGCACCAGAAAAGAACCTGGGCAAAAAACAACCCAGACAGCCCATGGTCAAGTTGTATATAGAGTGCCGATGATCCTTAACTGCATGCCAAGGCAGACTTTCATGGTGATCTTTGGGAAGGGACACTTTCCATTGTCCAGAAGCAATTTGCTTTATGCTATGCAGGAAGAGCAGCACATGACCCTGAACACTTTAGCAAGGTGGTCTCATCCTTGGTGCATACCACAACATAACTGGGACTTGCCTCCCAATAAATGGGCCTCCTTCCCCTTCTCTTTTGGATACATGCACAAAAACACAGAGCTTAGCTGTGTCTCTTATACATGCATTTCTTTTATTGATTAAATACATATTTGATATAATATGTACATGCAGGATTTTCCCACCAGCTTCCATTGTATAACTGCATACTAAACACAATTGTCTTTCCACCCAGAAGAAGATAAACTTTTTTGTCATAACATTTTTTTCACAATGGCATTTAGTAAAGGTTTACCTCTAAATTAAAAATCTTAAATTTCTTTCCAAAGTGATATTAACTACAAAGGCAAACATGTATGGTATTATTTATTGCTGTTGTTATTATTTTGTTTTTCGTTTGTTTTTATTAAATTTATATACCGCCCTACTCCTGAAGGACTCAGGGCAGTGAACAGGCACAAAATAAAATACATAGATACAAAAGTTAGAAACATAATTGAAACCAGATTAAATAATTTAGCCCGAGACAATTAAAAATCCCAATAATTTAAAACAGATTAAAATTTCGATTTAAAAGAATTTTAAAACAGGGGAGAAAATTAGGCCAGGCCGGCTTGCTGGAATAGGAGGATCTTAAGAGCATGGCGGAAAGTGCGCAGATCCGGGATCCTCCGTATCTCTGGGGGGAGCTCGTTCCAGATAGTGGGTGCCCCCACAGAGAAGGCCCTCCCCCTGGGGGCCGCCAGTCGACATTGTTTGGCTGACGGCACCCGGAGGAGCCCCTCTCTATGAGAGCGTACTGGCCGGTGGGAGGCTATTGGTGGTAGTAGGCGGTCCCGTAAATAACCAGGTCCTAAGCCATGGAGCGCTTTAAAGGTGGTAACCAAAACCTTGAAGCGCACCCGGAAGACCACCGGGAGCCAGTGCAGCTCGCACAGGAGAGGTGTCACATGGGAGCGCCATGTTGCTCCCATAACCATCTGCGTGGCCGCACTCTGCACCAGTTGGAGCCTCCGGGTGCTCCTC